CTGCCTGCGAGGCAGAGTGGTGTAACAGACAGACACTGAAGAGGAGCAACAGTTCAGGGAAGCAGAAGGTATGAAGACAAGCAAGAGCCAGCCACAGCTGTTTGTATTCCTTATGTCTTATCCAGGCTACTTAGGCTGGGTAGCACTCACGTCCTTAATGCTAGTGCCCTTGGTCCTAGCATTGCACCATGAATTGACTCGCACATCACACACTTTACATCTAGCTGCCTCTGAAAAGCCCCACCTATGACTGCCTGGGGATTTTTGGGGAAATCTAAGCACAAACCATAACATTTCCCTGCCCTCACCAAACACTCATGCATATCCTTCTATGCAAAAGGAACTTAGTCCATGTCCAAGAGTTTCCAAAGTCATAACAGTCTCAGCATTGCTGAGAAGTCCAAGTCCAAAGTTTCCTCTGACATTTAAGGCAAACTCTTGGCCCCACACATCTGTTCAAATGAAAAGAAAGTTAAGCACTTCCAATATTCAATGGTACAAGAGAGTAATTTCCCTTCCAAAAGTTACAAACAGTGGTAGAAGCAAAGCATGGGAACAAGGCAAGACCAAAATCCAGCAGGGCAAATATTAACTCCCTTAGTTTCACTTCCAGCATCTCTGGCAATCTGTGGCAAGTTGGGAACTCTAAAGGGCTTGGGTGGCTCCATCTCTGTGGCACTACCCATGGCAGTAGCTCCCACGGCTTCTCTCTTTGGCTGGCTCTGCTCCTTCCTGGCATATTTTCTCAGACTATCCACATTGTTGGATTCTTCAAACATTTGTAGTCTCCATTGTGCCTTGGCTTCACATTCACAGCCTCACACACTGCCTCTCAGGGTCAAAAAGCCTGTCTTCCCAGGCCTTCTGAAATCTGGTTGGAAGCTATCCTGACCACAAAGTCTTATACTCTCCTTGCACCTTAAACCAGGTCCACATGAATGGTGCCAAGGTCTGCCCTCAGCTGGAGCAGTAGCCAGGCTTCCTTTACTCTAGGATGTAGAAGGTAATCTCTATGAAGCAAATCTTGAGAAAACGTTCCCTAGGCCAATGCCATTCTAGAGCCCAGTGCTTCCGTATGTCTTCTCAGAGTTAGAATCTGAGGCTGCAAGCATTGGAGTCCTGTTGGTTCATGGGTTTTCTTCAGGCCATGTTTTCTGTTGGTCTTGCTGGTCTCCTCAGCAATAAATTTCTTCACTGTTCCATCTTTGTAGCATCTTTGCAGCCCATCTTTGCTGCAGCTTCCTTTCTAACCAAACTAAAAATGTTTGAAATCATTATGCTGGGTCTTTGCTCTTGATTCTCAACACAAATCCAACTACAGACCACCCGCAGGGGTCATGCCAGTGCCTCAACATTAGACAGGCCTAAAATGCCTCCTGATCAATTAATTAGGCTTCCACCCTTAATCTCAGTCTCAGGAAGTCTCTGGACATAAGCAAAATGTAGACAAACTTTCTGCTAAGGCGTAGCACCCAATATCTGTAGTCCAATAGTCAAAGAATCCTTTTCAGAAGAAACCTCGTGAGCCTGGTCTTTACTGGCACAATTTCTATCAGCCTTCTCGTCTTCTGACCCCTATCAAGTACCAAGGAAAGCTTTCCAGGGCTGCTATTTCAGCCAGCATTCCTGGACCTTTCCAAGCTGTTCACACAGTTACCTAAAATACGTGGTCAGATATAGTCACAGGAATGACCTCATTTCTCTGGTACCACATTAGTTACCTCTAGTTATTAATTTGTTACTTTTCTAATTGATGAGACAAAATCCTTGATTCCCAAATTAAAGGAAGGAAAGGTTTATTTGGCTTATACTTTATAGAGGTTCCATGCCATAGTTGGCTGGCTCCAAAACCATGTGGCATTGAAGACAGTCATCAAAGGGGAAAAACAGTTCATGGCTGGCAGAAGGTAGCAAATCAACAAAGAACAGGTGACCACAGCCTTTTCTATCTTTTATATGTTACCTGGGCTACTTACAGCATGTAGCACTCACACCCTTAATCCTAACACCCTTGATCCTAACATTGTAGAATGAATCAATTCCAGGACCAAACACTCTAGATCCAACCAACTCTGAAAAAGCCCCTCCTGACTGCCTAAGCCTTTGGGGTGACATCAAACACAAGCCATAAGAATATTGATGTGTACTTTTCCATTGTTCCTTATTTTTGAGTTTTCCCTGTCCCTTTTCAAATAGGTAACCAATGTGATACTTTATCTAAGGTGAGACATTTGACAGAATGTGTTTCTTGTCCTCTTGTGAGCTTTACTCTCTTCCAGTGTTACCATCATTAAAGAAATGACAGAATTTGGGGCATGAGGCAAATGTGAATTTTATTTGTGGGTGTGCACAACATTTCAGATATGCAAGGCTATCTCACTAAGACAAGGAGATTCATTCTGGCTCATGAGAGAAATGGGTGAGCTTTAGAGTCTTCAGAGCAGAGGAGGACCAAGATTCACTTTTGGGAACCAGTCCAGGGAAAATGGCAAGATTCAGGGCAGTAACAGCCCTATTGTGCATTTAGGTTGATGAAACTGAATGAACTCAGAAGATTTATGTGTCCCACCAGTCTTGGCAAGAAAACATAGAGATCATGTGGGCCAGCATAGAAGACATGTAGGTGGTAACCTGTGATAGTAGACTTTTTTGAGTCTGAGAGTCAGTCCTCTACCTCATTATTGATATTTGAAGTAGTTTTTAAATTCATGGACTGAGAGTCAAATCTGTTCCAGCATTATATTTTAGTTCATTTCATATTAGGGCCATAGCTCTTATATTTTCCTAGAATTTTAAATAGTCTTTCCTTTTCTTGTGCATTCATTCAACTTTTTTTTTCTTTCTGTATTTTAGGGAAGGGTCTACAGGGTTCCAGGTTCTCACTACGAGATTGGACTCGTAGTGATTCTTTTGTTTACAGCCTCCCAAGTGCTGGGATTACAGGTGCATGCCACCATGCCCAGTCTCATTTGCTGTCTCAGTGTGACCCAGGAGTGGGGCCAGCACAGCAGGCCCGGGGATCGAACCCCTGGCCCCTGCATCTGCCTCCAGGCACTTTAATCTGCTGAGCTATTTGGCTGGTCCCATTTAACTTTTTTTTTTTTTTAATGTATTTTATACAGTCTCACTGCTCAGCTCAGACTCATAATGATCCTCCTGTTTTCAGCCCCCACCCCCAGCACTGGGATTACAGGCATGTGCCCCAGGCCCAGACTTGGTCACTGGCTCAGCACCCCCTGGGGGTGGGGCCATCATGGCACACAGGGGATTGAACCCTGGTCCCTGCATCTGCCTAAGTGGACCTTTTAATCTGCTGAGTTATCTGGCTAGCCCAAGGAGTTCATATTTTAACAGAGGGATGAGTTGGACAGTATAAAGTGAGTAAAATAATTTTATATACTGCTAAATGGCATAGAAAAGAGAAAATATTGTAATATA